GGCACAGGAAGTTCCAGCTCAACTTAAGGGAGAACTCCTTTACTGTGCGTTTGAGTGTGCACTGGGACATCGCCCTGAGAGGGTGTGCAGTCTCCCTCACTGCAGATATTCAAGAACCATCGGGACACAATCCTGTGCCACATGCTCTGGGATGACCCTGTTTGAGCAGGGAGGTTGGACCAGATGACCCACGGTGATCCCTCCCAACCTGACCTGTTCTGTAATTCTGTGACTGTAACACGAGCTCAAGTGAGCAGTGACACCATTTCCCCTCCCCAGTGTGCAAACCAGCCACAGAAGAGGCTGTGTGGCAAACAGCAAATGACAGGACGGACATGGTACCCAGACCTCAGCGGGGTTTTGGAACTTCTTTAAGGTCCCTTCCAGCCCAAACCATTCCATCATTCTATGACACTCAGCAGCTCCATGTTGTCTCTTCTTCCTGTGAAGAAAAAGGGGCTGCCCAAGTGTGGCACAGACACTCACACAGTCCGTCCTTGCACCTGAGGGCTTCATAGGAGCTGAGGACAGCTCTCAAGCAGCACCTGAAACACCACCCTAGGGTGAAGCTTTGTGTACTGCCCAACCATAGTCAGCTGAAAGGAACTAGGGCTTTCCATGAGCCAGGGGTTATCCATGCCTGGAAACTCCTGTGCCTCACAGGCAGTGAGAGGCAGTATTGGAGCAGAGAATCTTCTGCTTTCCAATTCCCCCCTCGAAACGATGTGTACCAAGAGGTGAGACAGGGAGTGCACACCACCAACCCCTGGTATATTTTAAGTCTACTCTGTGAAATTATACTCCTCTCTCCTAGCTTTTTTAATTTTCAGGACCAAACTCACCACCTGCCATCACTGACTTCAAGCATCAGGGTAGCTAACTAAATTAACAATTTAAGCACCCCTTAAAACCCTTCTCGTGCTCCAGACAGAAGGGTCTCTCCTCCTGAAATACTAACAGGACATTTTATCACCTCAAAAGTTCCAGCACTGTGGGAAATTTACATTACATGGCCTGAAAACACATGCACTTGGGGATAAAAGCTTTTTTTTTTTTTTTTTGGACGGTGAAGAAATTTGATTTATTCCTTTCAAACAGGGACTTGATCTGTGCCAGACAGAACATCTAGAAATAAAATGGCCAGCTCCACAAACTCAAGCAAGGTTTTACCCATTTGTTTTTAGTTCAGCATCCAAAAGTCAATGCATCTGCACACCAAAAGAAGATCCAGGAAGTAATGGGGAGGTCTCTTCTACTTCATCTTAGTAATCTTTTAGCATAAAACTATAGACAGCCTCCAACCACTGCAAATCCAAAGCAGGGAGGTGTTCTCTGAAGAATGACCTTTGCATTCAGTTACAATTACCCTTGTCCCAGCATGGTTCAACGGAACAGACTGATATTCTTTGTGCAGAGTAATTTTTTTAGAACATGTTATCTCATTTCTCTTACATAATTTCAATAATGTGTGCATAAATTTAAACAGCTGGACTACTAAGGTAATTAAAAAAAAAGACAACCCTAACAGCAGTCATTTCAAACTTAAGCAACAAAGACATGTTTTGAGATAGAGCTGAACAGAGTTTTAAACATCCCAAGAAAGTGGAGCATTAAGGGGCATTTTGCCTGTAAAAAAAAAAAAAAATTCTCTTTCCCATCACTCTACTTCTGCTTTAGTTTATACTTCTTAGGGTAGTTCTTGGCAAATTGCTTTTGTACTTCTTCCTGTCTCTTTCCAAGTTTAAGCGTGTTCACCAGGTCTAAGGTTTTTTTCAGTTCACTTACAGGCTTGGTTACAAAGCCACGATATTTCCTTTTTGGAACAAACTCCAGAGCCTTCTTCCAGTCGGCAGTATCTTTCAAGGTTAATAAAATATTCATCATTTGATCCAGTGTAAGATTTTTGGCACCAGTATTCCAAAGCAAGTATTTATCCAGCGGAAGGGCTGCAGTCTCCAATCCCAGTCGCTTCGCCCGTGCTAAAGAGACTCCTGTTTTTATGCTCTTGTCAACCATCGACCCGACAATATAGATTTTATCGTGATCAAATGTTTTCATCACTTTGGGAGAATCAGCTGTCAGATAGATGAGCTTATCCTTTGGAAAGACTTCTGTGTAGCACTGCTCTGTCACAGTGATAAGCAGCTTGCCCCATGCCTCTCTATAATGCTTAAGAAACTCCCTGTGATAGAGGCTGTCATCCTTGAAGTTACAGAAGTGGATGTGGAACGGATCCACAGCCCTCCGATTGCAGCCTTCACTCTGGACCAACTGTTTCACTGTGTTTGCAACTTCTCGGACAGACATTTCTTTTTCGTAAGACATGTCAAATACCAGAGGCTGGCCAAAGATCATGGACTGAGCAGCCCTCCAGTTGTAGGCTTTATCCATAGTGCTGGCCCACAAAGCTAAAAATGGACTCTTTTTGGTCTCATCCGTTTTTGAAGTTTGCTCTTGTGGTTCCAGCTTCCTTTCCCTTTTCTCTTCCATCTTTCTTTTGTCATTTTTCTTGTAAAGTTCTTTGAGATACAAAAACTTTAAATACTTCTTTTTGGCTGACTTGGAAGGACACTCCATAAACGTTTTTAGCTGTTCTTCACTGACACTTTCTGGAACTAATTTGCCAGCTAGTCTCCACATCTCCAAAGTCTCACGTGCAGCAGCCAAACTGGAAAGCTCCTGAGGCTCAGAGACCGTCTCACTGACCTCTTCTTGCAACCCAGACTTCATTACCTTCTTCCATGCATCTAAATCTAGTTTTTCTGACGGTTTGCATGAGTTGTCCTGCTTCAGACAAAGTGATAAACTCAGAGTTCTACTGAGTGGAAACAAATCCCTTTTCATCCCATGTTGTGCGGCAACTGGAAGGACAGAACTTCTTACTATTTTTTTCAGAAGCATATTAGCAGACTGCATACTTAGACAAGTGCTGTGTTCAAACACTTATCTGCAAAACACCAATAAGAAGGAAAAACAACTCATCAGAAATCACAAAGAAAACATGCAACTAATTTTTATTCTTAGTAACATGGACAATAGCTTAATTCTTGGAGAATACTAGAAATTCCTATTTCCACTATTACTTTTTTTACTGTTTCCTAAATAAAAACAGAATGTGTGGCACTGCTGCTTAAAATAGCTATACTTACTGCAATTCCAAATGTGGTCAAACAACCTCCAAGTACTGTCCAAGATCTGTACCAAGTTTTCTGTACCATATGATGAGTAGGAGCCTTTTCAACCAAAGTCAGTGAAATGCTGCATGGACACTGAAAATATTTTTATACACTGAATTTATCTATGCTGTGAAAAGAGAAAGAAGAAATGGAAGAATAAGCAACCAGTATGAAAGGGCCATCTTTTTTCTTTTTACTAAACTGCCCATGAAGTTGGTATTGGCACATAAAGCTAAGGAGATAAACCCCACAGCCTCATTAATTTCATATGCATTTGTATTTAAATGTGAAAGGTCTGCAGAAAAAAACCACCCAAGAATGTTTAATATTTTCTTTGTCCTATGCACGCTACAGAACTAAAATCAGTGAAGTTTCAGTGCTTGAGAAAACATGATTTGGTCAAAACTAAAATTAGCTCCAACTTTTGAAAACAAAATTCATGATCTCCCTAATAACCTAAAAATAATCTGATGTACAGAAGAACAAGTTAAATCTAATTTTGGGGTTATATGAGGCACAGAAAGAGCTGTGTATTAAGAAATGTGACATAACCTGGCCTGCTTTTACTGTACAGTAACTGGTCAAACTGATGACCAACTTCTCATTTACTACTGTTCTTAAGGTAAAAGGAACAAAAACAAACAACCAACCCAACGATGTGAAAGCTGAGAAGTGTTACTACAGAGGTGTTCCTAATTTTACATTTCCCCATTAAACCTACTGACAAAAGTAATAATCAAAGAAGTATATTGTCCAGCTTGGAGAAATCAAGGGATAAGTTCCTCAATTAACTTATATTACTGGAGCTTCAATTAAATCAATATTTAAACACCAGATTTACACAATCAGAACACTTGGTGACAGCTTTTGATAGAGCCAAGTTACCTTCCAGTGTGTCCAATATTCACACTAACATCATTACTGCAAGATTTAATCTAAACCTCTTTTAAGAATTTAGATTTGTAACACACAAATGTTTGGTTTTTTTCTTTTTTAGCATGGCTTCACCATAACTAATCTCAGGCACAGAAAGGCCCTTTACTGATACTTCAGAGACTGAATAACTCTTCTTACTTCCCCAGCACAGCTGCCCACACACGGAATCACAGCCTGGGACAGGTTGGAAGGGACCACTGTGGGTCATCCGGTCCAACCTCCCTGCTCAGGCAGGGTCATCCCAGAGCACGTGGCACAGGATTGTGTCCGGATAGTTCTGGAGTATCTCCAGTGAGGGAGACTCCACAACCTTTCTGGACAACCTGTTCCAGCGAGTGCTCACTCACCCAGTAAAGAAGTTCCTCCTCGTATCCAGGAGGAACTTCCTGTGCATCACTTTCTGCCCACTGCCTTTTCTCCTATTACTTGGCATCATCGAGCAGAGCCTGGCTCCGTCCTCTCGGAACCCTTTCTTTAGATGTTTATGCACATTAACGAGGCTGCCCGTAGGGGGACGCGCCAGGCCAGGGTATGCAGACACGCGGCTCTTCCAGAGCAGCACTACCCGCTGCTGGACAACTCCTAAACCAGCCACGATCACCCGAGACATTACCCACGCCAGGTCACCCTCCAGAGACCCCACTGTGCCCTCTCCCCTCCCCAGGACACCGGCGCGCTCTCCCCGCGCTGGGCGGGACCCACGGGCACCGCGGCCTCCGGGGCACCGAGAAACACCCGCCCGAGCTCCGGCCGCGCTCCCCCCCGCCCGAGCTCCGTCGGGGCAGGCCGGGCAGACCCCGGCGGCTCTGGGCGCACCCCACGGTCACCGTGGGCGCCGAAGCCGCTCCGACCACGCCGCCATCCCGGCTCACCTCACTGCGCCTGCGCCCGGCGGGCCCGGCCCGATGGCGGTGCCGTGCCCCTGTCCTTCCGCCGTGCTCCGCGGCTGCGCGCCCACCGTTCCGGGCTCCCTTCGTCCCCACGGCGGGGCCTGCGGCGTGCGGTGATCCCAGCTTTTCCGTGTTCCATCCCGGGGGCGCGGTGGGGTCTTGATGCGGGGCAGGGTCTGGCCCCGGGACGTGAGGCAAACGCTGGGAGCCGAGGGGTTTGTCAGCTCGGCGTGGTGGTCCGTGATTTCCCTTCTCTCTCTCCTTGTCTGCCCCCTCCCTCTCCCCCTCTCTCTCCAGTCTCTCTCCCTTTTTCTTTTTCCAGCTTTTTTTATTTAATACCGCGGAGAATTTTCGTTTATTTTTATCTCAGGTGGTTGTTGTTGTTGTTTGATGGTGCCTTGTTCTGGTTTTCTGTTGTTTCCCGACCCTCCCCCCCAGCTGTCAGGTGGGGATTTAACTGGAAGCGGTGATCTGTCGAGATGAGTTTTCTGCTGCCCAAACTGACCTCGAAGAGGGAAGTGGATCAGGCAATAAAAGGTGTGGCTGAGAAGGTTTTGGTTCTCCGTTTTGGAAGAGATAGTGATGCTGTTTGTCTGCAGCTCGATGATATTGTAAGTGTAATTTTTTTTTTTTTTTTTTATGAACTCCACAAATACAGCTCTTGCATACAGGGGAATATCATATGTTGCTTTTGGCTAGTATGATGCCTCATGAAAAATTTGTTGACAATTAAATGTAGAATGAAATTATACTATATTCATAAAAAGGTTTGAAAAGCAAGTAAATGTTTGTGTTATTATTGTATTGGGTGTAAAAAGTGTTTGAGGTAGACAAGACATGATATTCTAGCCCTGCTTAAACTGATAAGACATAAGAGAAATGGGCTTTATCAAGCTTGCCAGCCTCTTTTCTTCTTGTGTCTCAGTACATTTGTCATGCACTTTTCTCACTCTCTTCAGCTTGCAAAAACAGCTCATGACCTAAGTAAAATGGCAGTCATTTACCTGGTGGATGTGAACAAGGTCCCAGTGTACACCCAGTATTTTGACATCAGTTACATTCCATCTACTGTGTTTTTCTTCAATGGACAACACATAAAGGTTGACTATGGGTGAGTCATCCTACCTGGCATTCTCTGTTATGTTTGTAAGAACAATCAGTCTTTCTCTGTTACCATGGGAAGGGAACGTGTAAAACCTATAATGTTGTTACCAGCATCTGCACTGAGAACTCTGTGGGAAGCCAGAAGAAAGTAAAATAGAGAAGCATTTTGAAATACGCTCTGATGCAATAAGTGGGTGTTGACTGTCAAATATGCCTGCCTGTGCAAAAATAGTAAAAAAATGGTTAAAGTCTGAGATGTGACACTGCACCTGTTTGAGCTTTGGAGGTCCCAGTATATTCCTGGTTTGGTTGTTCCATTCCAGGGTGTTTGTTCTTTCAGCACGACCAGATCAGAACCCCTCACGTCATCGTACATATTTTCATGTCTTTAGGTGTTTTTGCTTTGAACACTTTAACATTATAATTCTACATTTATCTTATGCTTATATTTAGGTCTCCAGATCATACCAAATTTGTAGGAAGCTTCAAAACAAAGCAAGACTTTATAGATCTGATTGAAGTGATCTACCGTGGAGCAATGCGCGGAAAGCTCATTGTGAGAAGTCCTATTGATCCCAATAACATTCCTAAATATGACCTTCTCTACCAAGGAATTTAATGGGTTGACCTGAGGTAAAGAATTACAGAAATGGATGATGTTCTAGATCCCTTTTTCTTCACCTCTGATGCGGTGGGACAGTTTTGAGTGTTTATGCCGAAGGATCATATTGGTCTCCTTCTGAAGACAGACATTCTGTCACCTCATGCTTTTCTCGTAAATAAAGCTTCATGTTCTTGCATAGAGTTTACACAAGTGACTGTTCTTTGAGTTTCATGCTGACCAGCCCCTATAGAACAGGCAGGTTGTGTGCATCCTCAACCTTCTGAAGTGAACCAAGGCACTGTAAAGTCTATTAGGTGTCTATTCTGTACCATTTTCATTCACATATAATGACAGTAAACCTTACTTTATTAGAAAAGCTGTCCTTGCTCTCCAGAGCATTCAACTAACTGTGCCTTTCCAATGGAATTTTGCACTTTTACCCATGCTGGATAACAGGACAGAAGCTCCTTCCAACAGTATTAGCGATGACTGAAATCCGAAATGGATATTAACACAAAAGGGAGGTTGATCTTGTTCTCGAGTATTACTGTTCAACAGTTTTTTTGACTGAGATGGGAACCTACTACTACACTTGCAGGAGAAGGTTTTGCCATCCTTCAAAGCTCTTTTGCAGCCACTGAACACTTAATTCCCACAAGCAGAATTAACTGGTTTCTTTACATTCACTTCAAAGATTATTTGAACTTCTGCTTGTATACATTGCAAACCTTGAGTATGTACATTTAAAAACTGTTTCCCACCTCTGTGTAAAATTAAACAGCTGAGTGGAAACAGCAATGTCATTCTTTTGCATTAGTTTGGTAACTGCAGGCTGCTAGAGTATTGTATTTCTACAGCAGCTCATGTCCAGTGTTCTCACAGGCCTAGTTGGCTTTAAATGGAAATTACTTTAGCTCACTGTATCCTTTGGGGCACACCAACTCTGACTGGAGGGAAGGTGGTAGTATGTAGTTCCCTGAAGTATTGTTCAACTTAACAGTAAATGTTTCAGGAAGAAGGTGGATGCTCTGGCTCTTGAAAGATTTTAAGCAATGTATGGTACATAGTGAGGAAGAAACAGATTGTTTACATGTTTTTTCTATTCCAGATTTGTCCTTTTAAGGAAGCTAGGCACTTAAGCAAGTGGTTTACTACTAGCTGAGTCTGATTATAGAGCCATAACTGTAGAGTGTTTATTTTTAAAAATGATATACTTGAGTTGATATGCCTTAACATCTTTATTGTGTTCAACTTTAAATTTCACAGCTAGCCAAAGGGTTGTGGCTTAAGGCTTTCAATAATGCATTTCTTTCCTAATAGTTAACTTTAGTGGTTTTTTAATAAAAAAAAAAAAACCAAATTAGCTTAAAACTTAGAACTCTAAGTTGCTCCACAGTGAGATGAAGGTTCTTAGGTGATTGAAAGGTGTAGAGGCAGTTATGAAAGGAAGGGACTACTATCAAGAACAAACCAGTGTGCCTTTATTTACTGGCTCTCTTCTTCTTTGTCCTGCTTCTGGTTGCAATAGGTGAATGCCTAAAAGCTGTTACGGTCTTAGCTTTCAGGGAGCTCTTCAGGTACTTAAAGATGGCATGGAGACAGCAGGAGGGTGCTAAACCACACTTTTCCGTTCCAGCAGAGACAGTGGGACAATTTGTTCTCAAGAGAAAGTCCACAGTCTTATTTAGAGGTTTACTGTTTGACACCCACTCGCGGCAGCATTTCAGTATCCATTCCTGTATCTGTGGATTGTTCCTGGTCTGGTGCTGTGTGTTGTGCACAGAGTCAATGAAGGCCACAGAGAACACTTTATTCATCACCTCACATGTTCTCTGCACCAGCAGATCAACGAACACCAAGCCACCGTAGCCATGGGCAACGAAGGCCACGTTCTTGGCTGCGCTCTTTGAAATGAAATGATCCCACACGTACATGGTGTGCTCCTCAGGGCTGCTGCTGCCCCTCTTGGGGATCCACCAGACAGACTGTGTGAAAGTAACTGCTTCTTCCCTGGTAGAAAAGTGGTGCTTTTCAGTCTTCAGATCCGCAAAGTTGTCATTGGGATTCAGTACGATCACTTCCCAGTGGCTTTGAAGGGCCATTTTGATGAATGGTATTTGTGTTCCATGTCTCAGGCCATCACTGACAATTGTCTTTTGCCCCCACTGTCCAGCACAGAAAACTCCACGGTCTTGAAGAAGTATAATGAGGCTAGAGGAACTTGTTAGTGCATTCTTGCTCATGAAAAAGAAACTTCTTGGTTCATCCTCTGTAGCATCAGTAGGAATATAAACCTTCTGTAGCATGCAGACCCTCTCCAGGAGCTCATAAACATACTGGGTAATAAAATGTCCCAGAACTTCATAGCGTTTATGATTCTGCTCAAATCTGCTCTTGTAATAATTGAAAACAAAGGACTCATTTGTATCCAGATGCCTCAGTTCCCCTTTTATATTGAAGTCATACTTCAGATCCTCTTGATACTCTGAACCTTCTATTAGTTTCCTCAGGCTGAGTTCATGCTGTATTTGTAACCACTACAAATTAAGAAGACTATGTCAGTGTGGCGATAGACCTCCATACAACACCTGCCTAACCCCCCCCCCTCCAGCCTCTGTATTAGAATTCAGATTTAAAAGCAGTTACAAAGAAAATACTTGTTGATCCAGACTCTCTCTTGGTGAGCTTGGTAAACCAGCTGCTTGTAAAATCTCTTAAGAGATTTCAGTTGGTAATTTCCAACAGCAGTAACATATCTGCCTTTATTATGCCTTGATTTCAGTTTGCTAGTTAAAGTTTGTAAGCTAGTTTGTTTATTTAAAGATCTTTTTAAGCTAGTTTGAATTAAAGGCCTTAAGGAGGAAGTTTGTGTACCTGGTTCATTGTTCATTTTAACAGCTCTTCTATCGTGCTGTGTCCTAGACATTATCTTGAAACTCTGCTGAGTTTCAAGGCTGCCTTTGAAGTACATGCCTTGTCAGTTGGAAATAGTCCCAAGTATCTTACTGGATCCTAAATTTTTAAAGAAAATCAAGCTGCACTTACTAAAGACTTCAACCTTCACATTGCTTGTGTACCAGCACACTCTCCATGTTCTACCTTCAAACTACACTAGCACAGATAATGCATGTGTGTGTTTGCTTTTTACTCATCACTCCGGTTATTCATTCATCATTGCAAGCACTTGCCACATGGATAGGAATGGATGGCAGAATAAACTAGCCACTGGAATCCAGGAACAGGAGAAAACAAAATCCATGCAGGTTGGAATTATCATGAGGTTGGATTGAGGTCTCTAGTTTCAGATTATCTCCAATGACTGATATGAATTATATAAATTTATCCTAACGTCCTATTTTCCTAATAACTCTTCAATCTACTCTGACTGTCAGTGGCTGTAGAATGCTAAACAGTGCATGACCTTTGGTGTGGTTAAAATCCTACCGTTTCAGGAGTTTTGTCCTGACACAGTAATTTATTTTTTTTTTAATGTTTTACATTAAGTTATATTTGTCAAGTTATTTGGTACAAGCTACTCTATACCTTTAAGTTTTTCTTGCTGAACTAACAGAGGTTTTTAGAACACAGTAAAGCACCTTCTGTGTTAAAACTCACTATACCATCTGATAAAGCCAATTACTAGGACTAAAAGTGATCTGAATATTTTCATGTAAGAGACTTGGGCTGGAGCCCAATGCTTTCAAGGAATGCAAGTTTCCCTGAGTAAACTGATTACCATATTGAAAATTATTCCTTAAACATCCAAATTTTAAAAAGTTTTTAGCTTTTCAACATAGCAACACCACATACATTTTCTTTTTGAGCAATCTCCATTGGGTTAATAATGTTAAGTCCTCACTTCAGGATCATTCCTGTCTTCTGATTAATAGAGAGCAGGCTAGAAAATGATACCTTCTCCTTTTTTATCTCATGTAATCAGTACATATAGAAAAGGGGGGAAAAAAATCAGATTCTAAGACACATAATCCATTTACTGTCTTGCCAGTTTCTTGAAAAGGAAACAGCACAAAGAAATTGCAAGTGCACATGCTCATCGGTGTTTTTTTTCATTCTGCAGGAAGGCACGAAAGACACAAAGGAGATGGGAGAACAGTCTTTTTGCTATACTACTGAACTATGGGCAATTCATAGAAAAGAGATCATATTTAGTAGGGAAGAAGCTATGCATATTCATGTTGTTGTCCCCAAGTGATGAAGTGGGAGAAAAATGGAGATATTTTAAGGGAAGATGTCTCTGGACAAAGGTGAAGCATTCTATAACAATTATGAATAGATAAATGCTATTTCCTTACAGAGTGGCATGCTGTGGATCACTTCTCAATCCCTTTCTCTCCCTAAAAGGTTGAAGACTAATTTCCCAACTTACTATGAGCAGGAAGTTACTATTCCCTTACTTCAGCTACTAACAACAACATTGCTTTTTCAGTTCCAAAACAAGGATATGTGATTCCAAATTAAACCCTGTGTATGTAATATTGAACATCTACTTTACAAAGCACTGTGAAAGGTTTCTGAAGATTTCAGGAGGCAGAAACATAAAAAAAAAGAAAAAAGTTTTACATGAGGTGTATGTATGACTTCCCTTCCTAAAATTGCCTTCAAGGTGTGAAATAAAAAGTTTTGAGGCAATTTATACTAGGTTATCACTTAAGAGTTTACCTGAATAGCAGCTTAGAATCATATACTTATTAGTCCAGAGGCACAGTAATGCCATTTACAGAAAAAATAACCACTCTTTTCCTTCCTCCCACATTTCTGTTTGGATTGTAAAATACTTCAGCTGTAAATTCAGCTAGTGTTTGTTACAGCAATTGGCTCATTCTAAACACTACTGCAGTGTAAGTGCTACTCTTTATGAGATCTGTAAAGATTCGGGGTTTTTTTCTCTTTAAAACCACTTTATTAAAGCCCAACATTACCGTATGCTCTCCTGTAAAATCTGTCATCATCATAGATGGAAATCTTTTTCTCTCTGGGAGTGTAGACAAGTCCTCTGCATGAAAGAAAATAAACCCATCATAGTTTCAGGTTTCATTACTTTATGTACTGGGGTGTATACCTCTAAAACCTATCAGCAGGTGATAGTTAGGGCCACCTAAAGCACTCAAGATAGTTCCAAGTTACAGGTTAACACCCTTCATTTGTAATTTACACCTAAGTTAAAGCTAAAACCTCTCGAGTGTGAGACTAAACACTTGTCCAAACCAGTTTTACTTCCCACTACCCAAGAGGACAAAACAGAAAGCTACACACATAAAACTTACAATTCTGAAGCTGCTCTGAAAAAAAAGACAGCAAAACCAAACCCCCCCCCCCAAAAAAAAAAATTCCAACCAGTAAATCTTTGTCTCCTCTTGGCTGTTAGGAGGATTTCCAAGGCCATCGGCTGCAAACCGTGGCCACAGCCGGGTTTATAAGGCAGCCGAGCCCTCCGGCAGGGGATTAACCCCCTGCTGGGGTCTGGCTGCCAGCTGAGGGAAACCTGGTTAGAGAGGGGGAATCTAAATCTGCCTCGGGGTGGGTTCTCGATTGCTTCTCTAAAAACAATGAGGTTTTCTCCCACCGGCGGCTCAGCACCGAGCTAAACTCCCGAAAGCTAAAGCCCGGAGCGGCTGAGGGGCAGCGCCCCGGCGTGTGGGGAGCACGGTGCCCGGCCCGGCCCCGGGGGGCGGGGCGAGGCGGTGCCCGGCCCGGAAGTGCCCCGGGAAGCTGCGCAGGCGGCGGCGGGCCCGGGTAAACAGCGGCGGCCGCGGCGGTGAGTGCCGAGTGGGGCCGTCCGGTCCCAGCCCCTCGGCCGCTGGAGCGGGGAGTAAAGCGGGAGGACGGCTGGCAGGCAGCGCCCCGGCGGGCCTGGCGCCGGCCGGGGTGTTTCAGGCGAGCGAGCGAAGCTGGCGGGGCAGGGCGGGCGGACGGAGGGCACCGGAGGAGGGAGGGCGGCGGCGGCGTTGCTGCTCCTCGGGAAGAAGGCTGAGGAGGGAGTGCGGAGAGGTGGAATTGCCGGCCTAGGCTCTCGGCACTTGTGCGTTTGTCACTGGGAAGCCCATTACCTTCCTAGCGGGAGGAGCCGGCGGTGCGGGGTCGGGGGCCGAAGGAAGCGGGGATTGGAGATCGGGAGCTGAGGAAGGGGAGTTCGGGACCAGGAGCCAGGCCGGTCCCTGCGGTGACAGCCCGGGCGGTGCCGCCCCCGGGTGGTCCCTTTGCCCGACCGAGCTGTCAGGAGGCCGCCGCTATTCGGCTTTCCCTCTTCGGAACAGTAGGCAGTAGTTTGGGTTTTCTTTTTTTCTGTCAGTCTGTAGATGTTGCTGTTCCCCACGCTGGGGGACTTGGCCTTGTAAATTGAAAAAACCCGCTGAGGTGAATGAAAGTCCCTGAACTTGAAGGGCTCCTTAAGAGACTTAAAGCGTTATGCCAGAGTCATACGGAGTATTTATGAAGAGAACAAACACCTATGGATGCTGAAAACTCTGAAGCTGTGTCCTTCCACTGATGAAGTTTATAGACCACCAGGAATACTTGAATAGTATTTATTCTTAGAGCCCCTGTCCTGCAGTGCTACAGATGTCTTCTGTGACTCCTTTTCACTCTATAATCAAAGTGTTAAATGGTTATTAATTGTGTGCTTGGGGGGGGGACAGTTGATCATTAAATGGCTTCACTAAAGATAAAATTCTTGTGACAATTTCTTTAATGGTTCTATCAGTGCTGACAATCCAGAGCCTTGCCCAAGCGTGTGTGTCTCTTGTATTTTGCCTGTCAATTACTTTTTACTAAGGCTTGGAGTGACAGGACAAGGGACAATAGCCTTAAACTGAAAGAGGGTAGGTTGGACATGAGGAAGAAATTTTTTTGTGCTGAGGGAGGTGAGATGCTTGAGTGGGTTGCCCAGAGAAGCAGTGGATGCCCCATCCCTGGAAGTGTTCAAGGTCGGGTTGCATGGGCTTTGAGCAACCTGACCAAGTGAAAGATATCCCTGCCCATGGTAGGAAGGCTGGGGGTAGCTGATCTTTTAAAAGTCCCTTCCAACCCAAACCATTTTATTAATGTGTTTTCTTTGTCCTAGTTTGCTCAAAAAAGATTTTCTTGTTCTTTCGTAGTACCTACTGCTGTGGTCCTGCTTCCCTCTTAATCAGTAAACCACAAATTTTTTGTTTATTTTGTTTCTTTTTCTTTTTCCAGTAGAGAAAATCATGTCAGGAAGAACATCGTCTTCAAGTCATGTCAGTGTAAGTTTTGCTATAAATTACAGCAATTTGCAACAATTTATTTTGAGGCTGTGAGTATCCTAGGGCATTCTGATGTTTGCATAACCAAATCCATTCTTCAGCAGTCCAGCAAAAGCTGGACAGTTTATTGTGGTAGCAACCAATACTAATGTCTGCTGTTGAACCTGTATTAATACATGATAGGCTTAGCATTTGATTACACAGAAACAGGGTGTTTTCAGGGGCATTTTAAGACCTAGGCTAAAATACTAGAGTCAGTAGAGTGAGGTCAAGTAAGTAGAGCAGCTGCACAACTGTGTAATATTTGCTAGTGTTTATTTTTTCTAAAATATCTCTATTAGTAGTACTTTCTAGCAGTGGAAGTACTGATGAAAACAAATGGTAGGCACAGGAACTGGTTTGATCCGGTAAGGTCTGGACTATCTAGTTGTGTAGAAATAGGCTGTTTCCAGCACCTTGTTTATGCACTTTCTCTGACCCTTGTTCCTACAGGTGACTGTAGCGATTTAATTTGCACAGATCCAGGTTGCATGGACAAACTGAATCGTTTATTGATTACAATCTTAGGTGTATATATAGGGTCTGGGGAAGGAGGGACAGGCATTCCATTTATAGCCAGGGTTAGGGGTCAGGGAAACACAGAGAGCTGTTTTTCATCAAACAGGAGAGCAGGCAGTTCTTCATTACAGTTACAATGATTGATGGTGCAAAGCAAGGCCATAAAGAGATTTACTGCAGGATTTGGAAGTCTGTTTGTTTATCTCAGATAATGCAAGAATGTCAGGGAGTGAAGGCAAACAATTCAAATTGCTTTTGTTTAAATCCCAAGACTTCTTGCTAAGATCTCTTATCTCTGCAGTGTCCTGAAGAATTTGCATTCCTACAGGTGACAACCTTCAGGAAAGTACTGCTGGTTTAGATGAGTGCTATACACGTACATGTCTTGAGTTAGTCACCTTTTATTTGGGAACAGGTGAGGCAACTGCATAGGTTGCATTAAGCATAGATTTAGAACTCTGTTTATTTCTCCATTTTGTGCTTGTTCTGTAACTTAATTGTGGACACTGCAAACCGACATCTTCTTAATGAGTGTGAGCATTGAGAAGATGCTGTATGGTGAGCTGGAAATGTTGCTGATGAACGTATCTTGTGCTTTTTATCCCTTTCTGTCAGTCTGTCTGCCTCTTCTTATCTTCTGAGTCTGACCTTATCTGTTGTTAATGTTATCTGTTATGTTATTACAGAGATTATCTGAACCTCTTCACCTTTAAATGCATATTAAAATTCTAGATAACTATGTGTTCTTAGCAATCTCATAACAGAAATCTCTGGTCAGGAAGCTGGTGGAGTTCTGAAGTAAGAAATTTGTACCTGGCCATTAAAGTGCAGATCAGAAGAATGCATTCTGACTGATGAACATGTTTATAGGCCGCTTCTAAAAGAAAACCAACCAAACAAATTTAAAACACTCTACTTGTAGAAGTCCTTGAGTAAGAAAATGTCTCGTTCAATACTTTTATGTTGATTGGAAAGGAAGGGAGGTACTTGTATGAGAAGTTGTTGCCTGTGCGTAACATTTATAATTTATTTTTTAAGTTTGTAATTTGAAGAATCTGTTATCAAAGGCATATTTGTTATTACAGCCTTTGACCGGCAAAAGCAGTCTGAGGTACTGATTACAAAAGAACTTAATCTTTGTTTCAAAGAAGTGTAGAGAAGGAATAAGAGCACTCATGATTCAGACTGAAGGACTGAAGTATTATCTCATTATGGTGCAGCATGCTGCAGTATGGTCTGTCTGAAGGACTGCCTACTGAGCTAATGGATGTAGTTGATGTATTAATTATTAAGTTGTTAGCACTGCTGTTCTAGAATCCCTGCTTGTAATTTCATGGTACAACATGGGGCACCTGGTGGCTTGCAAATCAAGTTCAGAGTACACTTGACAGCGGCCATCATATGGAGTGGCTTCAGCTTTCTCCTGGCTGAGACAGACTCAGTTATCTGAAAGATGTAGATGTTGCATTCCCTCTCTGATTCATTCTCATCTGGTTGTATTTGCAATGTCAGGTTTTGCTTCTCAGGATACCGAGAGAAAAGGCAATGCTTGCACTTTTATTCTTTCAGTTGATATTATTTTAACTGGTTTAATTAACTGATAGGAACTGCCATCCTATTTCCTTGTCTTGACGAACTAGTAAGAATTTAGTTTGATAATTTTTGGGTTGAATTTCAGTAAACAAACCTTATTTCCTACATATTTTTTTCTAAATAGGCAAATTTCCATGGATTACTGTTTTCTCTGACAGTAATTACTTTCCAAATGCTGGTTCCATTTCTGCAAAGGTTAGCAATGACAATAGGTTATACCACTTTCAGTACATTGTAGTCTGTTGATTCTAAATTATCATACCACAATGCTAATACTATTGTAAGATGTAATTGTTCTTCATCCTGAATTTTTTGTTTAGTGAGAGCAAACCTGGTGTGACAGTTTTGATATTCAGCTATTTTCTTTGTTCTTTATTGTTCTCTAAGCTGAAACAACTTAACTGGAGTGTAAACAAATCAGAGTGAACTAAGAAAACTGTCAGTACATTGGTTGTCACCTTTTAGGCACATGTTCTAAGTTGTGAAGTTAATAAAATAGGAAGAGCTTTGTCAGATGGTTCATGTGTTAAAAC